TACATTTGGGTGGATTTACGTGTTGCCTAGGCGCAGCCGCTCTTTATCTTCTCAGCCGGAGAACTGGCAGGTTAGGGTTTGTTCTTCCGAATCTCTTTGTGCTTTTTTTTTGTTTCGGTCAAAGTGTGAAATGTTGTTCTTCTCTTATTTCCTGCGACAGAGATCCTGAGATTCTCAAATCAGTCACTAGGGTTTACCACCTCAAGGATTTGGGTATGTTTCGTCAAAGAATTTCACTGTCCCACACTTTGATTATGTGCTTGTGATTTTCGTTTTTTTCTTCCTCAGCGAAATTGCTAGAAGCAAAGAGGCCTTCGATCATCGGAGTATCTGGAAGAGTTGGCTCTGAGACACCTATCAAGAGTGACCGTAGTGGTATACTTGGTGTTATTGTAGAGGAAACGGTATGTGTGGCTTGAATTACCATATTTACAAAGTTTATGCATTGGAAGTTTTAGTGATTTTGGGTATTGATTCTTCAGGCAGAACAACATTTCCTGAAACGTAACTAGAAGTTTTCATGGGTTCAAGATAGTGCATTGATGCAGCCGATGAGTAAACAAGTCCCTTGGTATCTGCTAAAGCCTGCTGGATTTTGATTTTGATCAAGCAACCTATTGAACTGGACTTGATTGGAGTGTGTATTCCTAAAGTTTATTTACAAAATCTGAAATCGGTATGCTATAGGAGGATGGGACAGGTCGCGTGAATGTAGCGGGAGCTCAAGGTGCAACAGGCTTCGCGTTGACGGTCAGAAATGAAGTACTCGAAAAGCCAGAGCCGGCTTCGCTTGTCCTAGGAACATTAGATTATCTCCGAGGCTTTAAGGTCTTTCCTTTCTTTCCCAGTGTTCTTTTATATGCTTAGGTTTCCTGTTTGGTCAAAAGTTAGATTGTGATTTTCTTCAGATGCTTGGAGTAAGACGCATTGAGCATGTTCTCCCACTCGGTACACAGCTTACCGTTGTTGGTAAGGTATGTCTTTATATGATCTCTTAGTGGCCTAAAATCTTCTTATATTACCAAAATACGTTTTAGATCTCATTTCGTTGTTGCTTGCTATGTACAATAGGCTGTTAAGGATGGTATTGGGGATGTGAGGATTCAAAAAACCGAGCAAGGCCCTTTCTACGTCTCACCTGTGCCGCTCATCACTAGCTCAGTAAAGTGGTCAAGGTCGTCTTCAGTTTGCGTATTCTCTTCCATGAAAACTGTAATTTGAAAAAAGTCTAAAAGATCTTTTTGGCAGGAGGTTCAAGCATGCCTCCATGGGTTTAACTCTTCTTGGTCTGTTTCTGATCTCAAAGACTGCGATTGAATATTTTCTTGATGCTTATGCTAAGAGAGAAGAACGAGTGACTCAAGGTTTGGAGTTTGCAGTTAACATGTAAATCATTTTTCTGAGTATTCTTGGAATTTGCTCTGATTATTACAGAATGTCTCTCTCACCAGGATTGAAAAGGAAACATGAGACCAGCTCAGATGGTTCAGACACAGATGGTGATGCACCTGATCTTTGTGTGATCTGCCTCGAGCGCAAGTATAACGCCGCTTTTGTTCAGTAAGAGCACTGCTCCATGAAACTTGTCACACTGATCAGACATGGCAAATTCTTGATTCCTCTTTTGGTTTGGTTCGGACTTTGTAGGTGTGGTCATATGTGCTGCTGCATAACATGCTCCATGAAGTTGCAGGGGAAGTCTTGTCCGCTTTGCCGGACACAAATTGATCATGTTTAGAAGATCTACCGCCATTGAAGACAAATCTCAGCTACATCCATTGGAAGTCATTGGACTAAACCTTCCGGTCTGCTAAACCCAAATTCACCAGCAAACAATCCTCAAGTCTTATCTGTAAAGCTTTGTATAGTTGACTTTTACTAGAACCATTTTTTTGCATTGTAGATCAAAAGCATCTTTGGTGATTGAAGGAAAGCATCATTTGATTTTCTGACAACATCTAAGTCCAATTTAAATGCCCAATTTTTTGAAAAATTATAAAACCCCATTAAATATGACCGGTCAGTGTTGCACATAGATCATTGAGCTCCAAGAATCTTCTGGGTACAACAGTGAAGACCGACCCGATCAAACCCAGACGGTGCTGTCAGAATCTCCGAGAAGAACCAGATGGGTAAATCCTTGAACCATCAGGCTCATCGAAGAAGAAGAAGATCCTTAAGAGATTTGTTCACGGGTTACAAAGTGTATTTTTACCGAAGAAGATGCGTGGAATAAGAATTGGGAATAAAGAGTGTATTTTTTTTATCCCACATCGAAAGATAGAGAAGCGTTGGTCACAATAGTTCGAGTATATAAAGGAAGCCAAGCCTCACCAACAAATCATACCTTTCTCGGCCTTTTGGCTAAGATCAAGTGTAGTATCTGTTTTTATCAGTTTAATATCTGATATGTGGGCCATTGGTTCACACGATATTAACTCTATTTTTTTAAGGGAGAAAGGCCCATTAAGATGGCTTGCTATCTGGGCTATTAACGAGTCGCCCATGCGTTGCACTACAGCACGGGCCTGGCTCAACCCACCAAACTAATAGCCCAACTTTTATTACAAATTTAATTTATTATTATTTTTCGTATCAGCAAAAGGCCTGAGTCAACCAATTACCAATTTACACGTGTAGTTAATAGAACGTGACTCGTTTTCCGTCCCACATCGACTTTGAGACCAATATTACAAGTGTATATATATGTCTGAGAATTAACGGGTGTCACAGCAGTCATTGGACATGAAGTGAAAGGGTTTTGGGCTCGTCTAAGTTCCGATCCAGGAAAGTTCCCAAGCCACTCATCCGCAGAGATGCGGCCTCGGTAACGAGAGAATCTTGTCGGTCGGAGAGACACAAGAAGCTGAGACGTGTGTGCGGAGCTTTCGTGGTCTCTCTACCGAATAAATATATGATAACATTCGCTTGGTCCTTAACCGATCAACAGAACGGGGCTTACTGTTTCAATGACGAAACAACTTTTTTTATATTTTTGTTTCTTTATCGGATTATTTATTAGTCTACAATGACACACACATGATTCACGCGAAATGAAAACGTGAGAATAACAAAAGTGGAAACATAGTGAGAACAACAAAGTCCAAGTGTATAAGAATAATCTTTTACGAGTTTTCGTCCACTCAACCAGATTTATCAAATGATAAGGGAGCTTCATCTTTATTTTAATAAAGAAGCGAATCTCCAGCTCCAATGGAAGAAAAACTTGCACAAAAGCAATTTTCTTTTGAGTTAAAGCAAATCAAAAGAAAGTATGAAGAAGAAACTAGAGAAATTCTTTTGTTTTTCTAGATGGAATAGATGAAAAAGACATTCACATTTTCTCCCAAAGCGTAGAATCAAAGCAAACCAATAGGGAAAAAAAGTCTAGCTAATCCCACTTAATTTGTTCATATAAACCAACCCCATAATTCACAAAAATTAATGTAAAACAAGAGAAGATGCAAAGAAGAGAGAATGATGAAAACAGAGGAATTTGTTGCCGACTAATTAGGTTGGTGGTGGTTAAACTCAAGGCGGGTCAAAAGGAAGATAAGTCAGTGAAGAAGAAACTGGAATCAAATTCTGATATTACAATTCATTTCAAGCAAAGAGAAGACTCAGAGTCAGATCAATCAAAGTCTAATCCCACAAAGACTTGTAGATCAGAGAGAGAGAGTGTAATCATGGTGATTAATGGTACTAATGGCTCAAAGAAGATGATACACGAAAAAGGAAAGAGCATGGTGAGTGAAGCTACCTTTATCCGACCGGTCGCTAAGCTTGAAGATCGGAAAACATATCCAAAACCGCTTTTGAATGATATAAATATGAAATCAGATGCTTTTATCAAAAGTAGACTCGAGAAGATGAGAAACAGCTTATAGCCGAGTACTTATAACATGAAAATATGTTATTCATAAATTCATTTTTTACGAAAAAAATATCGTTTGCATTCTTGATAAATAACATCTATGTACTCATCCATATTTGTATTTTGATATCTAATAAAACTATTTTCAAAGGTGTAGCACACTTTTAGTTGTAAAGTATTGTCAATACATTAGATCCACAAATATTGTGTGAAATGAATCTATCTTTTACTAAAGAAAATGAAGAAATAAACAAAAATAGTCATTGGAATTGTATCATC